GTCAAAAACAAGTAATTCGACTCAGCCTTCCCGTGAAAGAAAGTGAAGGTATTCATCATCATTATTTACTATTCAACTAAATATGGTTTATTTATATGATTGAGTCATATATTTTCCTTCCTATTGCCCATGTCAGCCAAACAAAAGCTCTGGTTATAGGTATTGCGTGATAAAATTCATAAAGAAAATAATTATACACAATTTAGACATAATCCCTACAAAGGTAATATGCATTTATTAAAGTTTAATTTATATATTTTAGAATTATACTTATCGTAGCTATACATTTATATCTAACTTCAATTTACTTTTGCATACAGTACTTTATTGACACATATTGCATGATGTATTCATCCACTTAAATAGAGAAAATTATTGAAGAGTTGACAATAGTTTTGTACCATCAGTAAGCATAAAATAGATAGGAAAGTATAAGACTACTTTGGTTTCAATATTATGTTGTTGTGGTTTTTAGCAATTGACGGATTTTTATTTTAGTTGAGTTTTTGCTTTTATTTTTTGTGCTTGTCCAAAATTTTGATTTGGCTTAAGACCACATATTGTATGACATTTGGTTTTGTTATTGAGATGTATATAATGTAAATTTCTGTCTGGTGGTTAATTATATTCATATGACTGAATTATTGATTGTTGTATATTGGTTTGAATGTTGGCTTGATTCTGTTTATCGAATAATGCTGCTTTGTATGAAATTTTATGATACAGGAGAGCTGCTAGAAAAGCAATATCACTATTAAAATTTTTTTTGAAAATACTTAGCAGTTATTAGTTTAAAACCATTAAGTATTTATACAATACTTAATGATTTTTTGAATAACCGTCAAGTATTCTAATTAACCGTCCAGTAATTGGTGCCAATAACTGTAAAATTGGTCATCAATACTTGATGATTTTAATTTTAGAACCATCAAATATTACCTAAAATATTTGACGGTTAATAACTGTCAAATATTATCCATTTAAATATATAACGCAAGTATACTTGATAGTTTTTAATTATTAAATATGAGCAAAAATAACCGTTAATTATTATGTTTTTTTTGTAGTAGTATCTAACAACATCTTCTTTAAAGACTTCATGTACATTATGTATTAATTTATAAATTAAATTAATTAGTTTAAAAATATATAAAATGAAGATAAAATAGATTAAGGTATTACATTAAAAAATAAAACCAATTTTCTAATCAGTTCTTACATTTAGACTAGAAGAGTATATGATATAACAACATTTTTTTAATAATTATGGATAAAAAGAACATTTAGATGGAGTCTTTTGATTTTCGCAACAGTGACATTATAAAAAGTATTACCGCAAGGGAAGAAAAATGGAAAAGTGGTTCCTACGTCGAAAAGTGGTTACTACGTCTTATGTCTCAACATATTTTTATCGTTGCTGTTATTATTATTATTATTACTACTACTATTATTATTATTATGATAACTCTAAAGTAGACCTTATTTTGATGTACCATTACTCATATTAAGTTGTTTTACTCATTTTTCCTCCAAAAGAAAAAAGAAGAAATCAAACAAAAAAGAAATATGAAACGCCAAAAAGATCCTTCCTTATAAAGATTATTTATTATATCCTACGACGGTGATAGAGTGGCAATGGCCTATTACCATTAATTTTTTCAATTAAGTTTTATTTATTTTCCTGATAAGAAAAGTGTTGACAGACTCACGACCAATTGATAGCTGGACGGAGCACTCTTATCTCAAAGTGAATCAAATATGAAATATCATTCATTGCATATTCCTCATAAAGCATTGGCTCCACATTATGTACACTTTTTTGTATTTTAGTCTACACAACGCATTCCTTTTTTTTTTTTTTTTTTACTAGAGTCTAAACAACGCATTCTTAAAATAATACCATCATTACTTAGTAATATTACTTCTAATTTTTATTTTAATCTTAAATATAAGAACCCAATATATTTTGTTTCTTATATTTATGTATTTTTTTTAAAATAGTTCTTCTAATAATATTATATAGAAGCTGGTACGATCAATTTATAAAATACTATTACATTTATATAGATATACTAAAATTCTTTTGACATTAGAAATATATTAATGATAAAGTGACGGAATTCACCATCTACCATATTTATTTTTTTGTAGCACACATTTTCCACTTATTTTTTTTTTTAACTCACACCCACGGTTACAACATTCTACTACATCACCATATTTTATTTAGTCACCCCCACCTTCACCGTGGCCGTAGCCGGAACCCTCACCATGACCATATCCGGAGCCGCCGCCGCCTCCTCCTCCACCTCCACCTCCACCTCCACCGCCACCTCCACGCCCTCGTCCTCTCCCAGACCCAGCTCGAGAACCTGCGTATGACCCAGCATACGAACCTGCCTCAGAACCTGCTCCTGATCCATAACTGGAAGATGAGGAGGATGAACTGGATGAAGAACTTGAACTGGAGCCAGACCCAGACCCAGACCCGGATCCAGCTCCTGCCCCGGATCCACTTCCACCTCCTATGCCCAACCCCAGCCCCGCTCCAACTCCAAGGCCCAGCCCACCAAGGTCCAGACTCAAGTCCTTCCTCTCAATAACCCTGCTTTCTGATGCGAAAGCAGACATGAGAAGAAGCAGAGCGAGCAGAGAGCAAGACCAGGATGCAGAAGCACCCATTGGTAACGAGGAAATAATGAAGGAGAAGGCAAGCTATATAAGGAAGAAGATGATCGATGAAGTTTTGATGGCCAAAATAAGTCAATAAGATCGAGTGAGAGTTTTCTGATGGGGGAGGTGAAGAGTTTTGACCCTATATATATAGTTGGTGAAGGTGTGAGTGGTACATTATTTTATGGGAGATATTAGAAAGTGGAGAATGTGATAGACACAAACTTTGTGGCTGAAACTGCAAGAAGCAGAAGCATATGACTGCGTTGGTGACAAGTGCCCTGCAGGAACCGACCCATTTTATATCCACTCAGGCACTCACGATAGTGGAGAATGAAAAAGCTGTTCACATACATGTTTTTGGTTTGGTATTTGTATTTGCTTTGACTTCAGAGGTTCTTGTTGGTGCCAGCTTTGGGCTAGGGTTTTGCATATAGCACTCACACTCATCTGCAAGAGGCGTGCTGGCTTTTTACTTTTGTATGTTTTATAGATCATTTGTTTATTAGTTTGGTAGTGGCAACATCGACATACCAAATTAACAAGAGGGTTGATTCAATTTTTCAGTTCATAATTTATAAGATTGTAAGTTCAAATTCTATTGCTTAGGTGAACGTTTTGTCGGTGAGTGATTTATAAATACTCCTCCGATCCTTAATATAGGACCCAATTTTTGAGTTAGTTTTGGTCCTAAATATAAGACACATTTCTTATATTTATTAATTTTCTCTAAATTACCCCTATGGATAATCCCTTAACCATAATCAAGTAAAAGAAGGAGATGGGGTATTAAGAAAGATGATTATGGTGTTTTAGGAAAAATGTATCACTTTTCTTGTAATTAACTAACTTACCTAATTTTCTTAATCTAATCAAATTAGTTAAATGGGTCTTATATTAAAGATCAGAGGAGTATCTTCATAAACAATCTCTAAGTTTAGAAGTATATCTGACCTTAGTGAGCTCTGAAGACTCAGCTTACTTAATTTTTTTTGGGTATAAAAAAAAAGGGAAAGAATACTAGGAGACAAGTTCGTGAGACTGCAGCTGGGCATGATGAGAAATGAAGGGTTCACGCAGGAAGATGGGTGCCGTACGTGGGAACTTGTGAGCGGCGTAGGTGTGGTTCCTGTTTGTCTGTTGTTGTGGTGGGATTCAATAGTGGGATGATCATCCTATGACTTCACTGTACTTGTTAATGGACGTAAACAACTGAAACGTCTTGCCATTAATTATTATGTTGAGGGACTCGTAGCTAGCAAGCTAAGACTAGGCCCTTAACTTGCCAGTAGCTACCTGCATTCTTCGGCTTCATCATTTTGTTTTGGCCAACGATTCTCCAGCTTCATCGTCATAATGCTATCCTTTTCTGATTCAGAAACTCTCCTCTTCGGCTCTTCCCTTCTCATATTTTTCCTCTTTCTTTTTTTTTATTAACTATTGAATTAATATTTTAACGGTCATATTTAAATATTTTTAAAATTATTATTAGAGTTTTAAATTATAAAAATAATTAAATAATAAATTACAAATTATATTAAATTTAATTCTAACGGTTTGCAAATGTATTAAATATTTTTAAAATTTTTATAAAAAATTAAAATCTAAACTGTTAAAATATGTTAATCCAATGGTTAGGGGAAAAAAAAAAAAAAGAGAAGGGAAGGGGATAGAGAGGGAAGAGGAGAGGTTCGGAACCAATCCTCTTTTCCCATTTAATCTCCACTCTAAAGCCGTTTATCTAATCTTTGCTTCCCCAATTTGATTATCACTTCCTTGAAAACTAGATTCAATTTGATTCTTTTTTACTTCAATAAAAAAAAGGTGAGTCCTTCACATCGCGTAAACTAGATGTTATTTATTTGTCCCCCCCCAAAAAATGCCTTGAAAAATGTCTAGCCTCTAATATGTATATATTATGATCAATATAAATCCACAAATTGCCTTATTTATAACTTCACGAGTGATATAAATATAAATATAATTTTTTGTCATAAATATAAGAGTTAATTAGAGGGTTGATTTTGGACCTACATATAAAATCTTAATCAATTTTATTTAAATTAAGTAATTTATCTAACTTCTCTAATTTAAATTAAATAGTTTTCCCATTAGAGACATGGAGATACTGCTTATCTCATTCCACACACTATGCGAAGAAAGGTGTCTGTGCAGGTGAATGAAGAATCGTGGTGGATATAAATTGGCATGGCCCACTGGGCTTAAAGGCCCAACTAAACATGAATTGATGTCATTTGGTCTTCCTATGGTACTTATCGTTTAAACTCAATGGGCTGTTCAAATTTGAAGTTCCCATAAAGCGTTGTTTAGTTTCCTGCACAGAATCATTCTTATTCCCTCCCCGAACGACGACTATCTCTCGCTCATTTCTTGATCTCTGACTCTGTTCTCTCTCATGGCGGAGGTGAGCTTGGATTTTCTATGACATTATTTTCGTTAGTTTCAATTTTTCGTGAATCTTGTCACGGCGGGAAAATTAAAGCTATCAATCTGGATGGTTAGCATTTTAGTCTCGTTTTGCTGTCGGAATTTCATGTTCTAGTCCCTCTTTTCTGATCTCGCTGTTCGTGACTGCGCTTCTTTCCGCTATTGCATTATGAGTTCCGATGTTTGTTGCAATCTAGACTTATTTAGTTTCCTGAATTATTTGATGAATGCTTGTCTCTGAATTATTGGATCGTTTGACCGCGAGCCAATAAGTTGTGCTGGGAACGTCCTCAAATAGGTCCATGGTCGTCTGTGCTGCTATGATGCCCAAGCATTGCTTCCTATTAATAACTTTTCTTGTAGACAATTTGTTGGAATCCCCTTCTTTCTTCGAAAAGTCCTTGGTTCTACAGGGTGTTTTTTTTTTTTCTTTCTCGACGCTTGTAAGTTCTTCTAGCATTTGGTGATAAAAGTGCCTTGGCAAGTTTTACTGCAATTTTCAAGACTCTTTTCCCACATCTTTTTTGGGGTACATTTTCATATTGGTTTCATCTATAAGGCTGTTATATCATTGGTCTTTCATAAATTGACTGAATATTGTCTACACTCCTAATCAATTCTTCATTTAGCTTCTGCGAACATCTACTTGGATTGTCGCATGTGGAAGATATATGAGAAGCTGAGGAGTGCTTCTAGTATCTTCATTCATTTATTTGGTTGACAATGATATTGGGGAGGGGGGGGGGGGACCTTTGTCTTACTGTGTTTCAAACTGAACATCTAATATTAGATATCCTCCAGCGTTCATTTGAAATCTGACTTATCCTGTTTGGTTTTTAACTTCCTATCGTCTTCATTTTTTCCCTATACTATTTGTCTCCTATGTTTTCTCAGATTGAGCTCAAAACAGCGCCTGCTGATTTTCGCTTTCCTACAACCAATCAAACCAGACATTGTTTCACTCGCTATGTTGAGTTTCATAGGTGGGCTTTTCTGACACTTGCTATCTTGCTCAGCAGAACTTGTTTCTAGATTTTGTTCTTGAACTTTAAAGTTCAACTACAGGTGTGTGGCAGCAAAGGGTGAAGGCTCAGGTGATTGTGAAAGATTTGCCAAATATTATCGTTCCCTTTGCCCCGGTGAATGGGTAAGTGGTCCTTAGCTGACTGCTTTTGCTTGAATTGACTGGATTTTTGTGTAAATATGAAGATTGACAATACATTTAAGACAGATGCTATTTATGATGGCCAAAGTTTGATTATATATAACCCTTAACGTCAACATCATAAAATTCTCAAACCATTTGAAATTAAAAGAGTCGTGCATTTTCAAGAAAATTAATGACCTCCTTATGCCTTTGTGTAGTCTCAAGTATTGTTTGTGATTCGCCTTTTCAGACAGCATTTTAATTGTTAGGTATTGTAGAATGTAGATACTGTAATGTAATATTAGTGATTATGTACCTAGCAGCTGAACCTAAATCAGGGATTTAATCTCTTTGGTCTAGCAATTTGACTCTGTGTGTGTGTGTGTGTGTGTTTCAAAATTAATACGTGTCACGTGTATGTAGAGTGCCAATAGATTAGGCTATGCAACTCTTTCCAGCTTGTTACATTGATGGATACTAGTTCGTATATTTAGAGTCATGGTGCTGATATAGATATAAGTCATGGAGACATTCCTTTAGCTCACTTGCTGGGAGTTCTGAGTCTGACAGTTTTCTAGTCAACTTCTGTACATTCTGAACTAGTAGGTACATGTCACATGATGAATTCTGTAATCGTGTTAACAGAATATTGGGCTGGAGGGACATAATGACATGGATGATGGATAGCTGCCTTGGGAAATCTACGCGGGTGAAAAACATGTGGAAGGGAGTTAACCAAGGGAAATCTATGGGAAATTTGTTAGAAAAATGGGAATATAAGTGGGGCTGAGGTGAGGGATAGGCAGAGTTTGGGGTGGTTTGTGGGGAGACCGTTAGGAGGCTCTAATCACTTGAGTTTTATCAATTTTCTGGTTCTGGCGTTCATTATATTGCTTTAATTCTCCATTGCTTGTAAACTGCGAGTCACTTAATTCAGAATTATGACCTCTATCTTTCTCTATAGCTTTCTGCTTCTGTTCTTTCATTCTGTGTTTCTCTCTTGCTGGTTCCTTTCATATCTGGTCTATAAACAAGTTACAGATTACTGAATTACATGAATAAAAGAATTGGTTGAAGACAATAAATGTGTAGAAAACATGCTTTTTTCAAAAATATGCGCTTATGTATGGAGATGGTGAGTGTTAGGGAATGAGTGGGAAAAGAGATGAATGATGATTGGTGGGAAAAAGAGATGTGAAAGACATGTAATTAATTGGGGGTAAAATTAGGGAAAAGTGAATTAATTTTTCAGACAAGTCCTAAATGTAAGATCTATTTTTTAGTGTGAATTACTCACATTACAAAATAGTTTTTACATTTAGGACTGGAGGAGTAATTTGTATATAGGATCTGAGGGAGAATTAGAAATGATCTAGAACTTTTGAAAGGTAACACATCCCTAAAAGAATGAGTTGGGAACGAAAAAGTTAATTTTTTTCCCCCTCTGCGTGTATCCCTCATAACGTTTTGTTTAGTGAAACGCATAGCCGTTGCTGAAGTCGCAAAACTACAGGATTGCTTAAAACATTCGGTGTTTTGAATGATCAATGCATGTTATCTTCAAGCTTCATGTGCAGATCTTCTTTTCAAAGTTCCTCCCTACTTTGTGGGGCTTAATAATGTATTGCGTTGATATTGATGGCTATCTCACATTGCATAATTCCGAAATAATTTAAATGGTTGAGTGATCTTGTTATTTAATCAAATGTGCGCAGTTGTGTATATATTCAATTAAATGTTAATTTCTTCTACATATTTTTTTTCTGTTCGGATTAAAATGTTGCAGGTTGAAAAGTGGAATGAGCAGAGGGACAATGGAACTTTTCCGGGGCCCCTGTGAGGCATTTTCAGATCCCAGGATACCCTTAAGATTATGCTGGTTGGTTTTGTCTGATAATTTGGTGGACTTAAATGTTAATATGGTCAAGGTTGATCAATAAAGCTTTCTGTATTTTCACTGTTGCAAGTTGACAAACTGTCAAAGCCCCCTTGTTTGAAGTTGATTTGGTTCTGACTAATGGAATTGTTACTTTTGTTTGACACATTTGATTTTTAAGTTTTGCAGCTCCATCCTCATCGTACACACTCCATCCCACGCCCTCTTAAAACCAAAAATTAATATATCACACACGCTTGATAGAAAATTTTTACAGCAGAGCCGAAGTCGTCTTCTGTCGGCAAGACTCAGTAGTAAATGTGAAATTCCTTTGTTGAATTCAGTAATGTTATAAGCAGACTGAATTTTCTCAAAGCGTGCTATTTGATCAAGATTGATGTATCAATACCCACGGTCCTTCCACTTGTGGGATTAAACAGCTAAAAGGATTACTATAATTGTGTTGGATGACTGACTAAGTCATTACCCATATTCACACATTATCCCTACAATGGAGACTTGTCTTCACCACGTATCTAGTGACAGTTATCTCTATGGATATGCATAATTAATGACGATGTTGTAGGCCAATTCACAGCTGAACTCCCTAGTCCCCACCACAAATTCATACCATAAGTTTGCTGAAGTTTCTTATTCCTTTATTCTAAACATTGATTTTTACTTGAAGACTACTTATGATTTATTCTTGCTACTTAGAAATCTTTGAAGTTTTGATATTATTTTACATTTACCCATACAAATTTGTTGCTTGGACGATCTTCATATTTTGTCCGGGGGAAAAACTTCAGAGTCCAGATGATTGTATAATTTTTACAGCCGGGGGTTTACCCAACGTCATCGACACATATTGATATGGCTCCCCCCCCCCCCAAAAAAAGAGAATGCTGAAGACGCCCGAATTAAAAAAAGGTTCCAGTGACATCCGCTCATATTAGCTGTAGTTTCATGTCTCTCCTGTCATGATTTTTTGGGTTAGGGTATTGCCCTTTGTTTAGTATTAATAAGAAAATAGTTTTGATTATAACTTGATGGAAAATACTTCTTTGTTTAAGTTTAAACTTACAAACCCTTAAAAGGAGAACACACTGTTGCTTGAATGTATTTTAAGGAGAAAGTGATATATTTAGAAGAGAATCGTATAGAAAAAGGGTAATTAAAATGTTTAAATACTCCATGGAAAGAGCATGAATGGGAAAGTGCAATGTGGGAGCATCATGAGATGTTTGTCCACTATGACAGTAAAGGAAGCAGCGCACGTGTTCCACGATTTGATCCCAACATCCTCCACCTAAGCTCCTTTCTTCTGCCGCCCCATAATTTGTATCATTGCTTTATCTGTCATCTCACTTTCATTTTACACTTGATGCTGATGCCCATATCATTTGGAATTAATACTAATTAGGCTTAAACACCTTAAATTTGGTTTAGGATTTGTTTGGAATGACTATTGAAGCCTTTAAAGAGGGTTTCAGTCCAAAGAAAAAATTTGAGGATTTGCCGAGCCAACTTTCATGTTCGTGGATGGAATTTATTATAATATAAAAATACACACGCACACATGGGGCTCCAAAACTGGCTGCTTAAAAAGGTTTCTTAGACTCAACGTTTCTCCATGACAAATGAAGAATAAAATAAGGCAATTACGTGCCATGGAAAACCTGTCCGAATTCATTAGTTACTCCATAATTTAAGGAAAATGACAGTTGAGTTCCAAGTTTTCATTTAACAATACTCGTAGTATAGTTAGGCCTTCAAAATTTGTTGAAAGATAAGTTACAAAGTATAATTAATTTATATTGTCACCAATACAAAACTCTTACTTGTATGTCAGAAAATAATCACAGTTAAGTCTTATAATTTATGTAAATTAACTTTTCTTTGTTTGCAAATTAGTCCCTTATACCCAATAACCCAAATAATATTTTTTCGCAAACCATCTCTTCTTTGCACAAACTTAATTTTTTCTTTTATGTGCAACTTATATTTTCTTATGTAATCTATCATCTTAAGAATTATTTACCAATTAATTTTCTTAATGAGAAATTTGTTCTAATTCTAAATACATGAACATATATCATGCTACCTCTAGTTTTATTTATAAGACCTTAGTTATAGACTATAGACAGAGTCTTATAATTAGGAGCAGAGGTTGTGTAAAGCAATTTCACTTGCAATGAGTTGGAGAAATTCGTGAAATGCTTCGTCCTTTGGTTCAATTTAAGATCCAACAACCTTAATTTCTTTGTTTCTTTCTTTTTTTGGCCAAACGAAAGAGATTTTTTTTGGTTGATAATCAATCTTATTTAGCAAAATAATAAAACGATACATAATAAACCACCAAATGATTCCGGGTTAGGACCAAATTAGGGGCTCAAATTTGACAATCTTAAAATGATTTCTAAAAATTTTATTTTTATAAAGTCTCTAGAAACCATTCTAGAATTAAATTCTTGCACGAAATGAGCTAATTGTTCTCATATAAAAAGAAATTCTTTTTATTATTAACCGCCAGAGCTCCAGCTGTTTGCATTGCTAAAGAACTTTTGGACGAGTGAAGTTGGCCAATGCGAGATTTAATCTCACCACCTTTCGACTCTTAAAAAAGTATATATGATACAATTTGATAAAAGAGAATTATCATGTGGTTCTAAGAAATTTAATTATAAAAAAATCTCAATGACAAGTTATTAGTCTGAACTTATTATTATTCTCTTTTCTATAACTTGTCATTGTATGCTCTTTAATTATCAATAAATTTTATAGTAATTAAATTTCTTTCCTAAAACATGATCGTAATTCTCCCTTTAATAACATGGTGAAAAATATTAAAATGACATTCTAATCAGTGACAACTATTTTTTTTAATTTACTATCTTTTAAGATTTTAAGCACTGATCCATCAACTTTTTTTTTTTTAACGGAAAAAGATTATTGAAAATTTTTTAATAGCACATGAAACTTTTGTCTATCAGTGAACAGAAGGTTACAAAAATCAAAGTTTGTTGAAGTTGTAATTTTTTTTTCTTTCTAATACTTCTACATAAAAAGGTAAAGGTTTATGTTTTGATTAATTTTTGTTTTGATAACTTGAAATATTTTTATTTTCTTTTTGATCAATTCATTTAAACTTTGAATAATGTTTAGATAAATTTATTAATGTTTAAAATGAAACATACATTGTATATCCTTTTACGTATATTATCATGCCAATATTAGACAGTAAATTAATTATGGACGCGCACTAGCTAAAGTGGCTTTCTTTTGTTCTCATGTGTGGAGTTAAGCAAACGTGTTATGATGATATTAAGTGATGGGGCAGTCAGTGGTCAACCCACTGATAATAACTAAAAAGATCTTTTTACTAATTCTCACATAATTAAATATCTTACCCATACCTACATATGCACACTGGTCACCTTTTTTTTTTCGGTTTTGCCCAAATTATGGTCTTGATTAAATTTTAGAGTTACTTTAAATACTTTAAGAACAGAACATAAGATGTTCAATAATATAAAGCTATCATAAAGAAAAGGATCTGCAATTTTATGAGATGATAAAATCCTAGAAGCTACGATTTAATCGTATACCGTAAAATTCAGATCTCATAACATCGCAACAAACAATCTAATAAATAAGAAACAACATAAGAGTAGAAACAATCAGATCTAATGAAATTATAAAAAAAAAAAACTAGCTGACTTTCCCAGAAATAATATCGATTCATATTGCTTCACACAATAAAAATATATTTGTTAGACAAAGTTTAAAATTATTCATTAAATATACAAATAGAGAAAGAATATAAACTTAAAATAAATCTAACGACAATAAAAATGAGTACAGATACTCATCAAAAAACAAAAAGAAGATGAGTACAGATCTAGGTAAATGTGAGCATCTGGATGACAACACAATGAGAGCTTGAGATAGCATGGATCTGGATGTGATGAGCACAAATCTTGACCCAATGAGCATAGATCTAGATGATGTGAGCATGGATCTCTACTTGATAATCATGGACAAGTCAATGAATCTTAAGAATATGACAAGTACAAAAAAGATGATGGGCTATAAAGGAGAGGAGCATGAAGAAGAAGTCACAACACAAATAAGAAGATCATGAAGAAGAGGACTAGCATTGAGCTTACCGGTGAATGAAGCATGAAAAAGAGGTTGCAAGGTAACTTAGAAAGATTATGAGATAATGAAGTTTTGTAACATCCTAGGTTTTAATCCTAAGGTTTAGGGGTATATAGGCTTAGTTTTGGATAATTAAGTTGGTTAATTGTTGACCTTTAAGGTTTATTGGAGTTTGGACAGGATAGGTTTAAATTGAAGGTTGAAAAAAAAAGGAGAAACAGCACTTTGGTGTGAGTTGCGGCGGCAATTTGTGAAAAAACCCACAGCTATTTGGCCAGACCTAGTGATTTTTCCTTTTTGTGCGAAGTGCTACGGCAATTGGTAGAAATAGCCACGGTAATTAGTTTTTTTGGATTAGGAGTTTTGAGGATTTTGGAGGCTAGGGTTTATGATTCTTGGAGATATATGATAATAGATAACAATGTGGAGTTTGGAAATGAGTTTTGATAATTGGGTTATGTTAATATGAGTTACAATAAATGTTTAATCGGTTTAGAATATTGATTTAAGTTGATTTTCATATTTAAGTATTTTTTATTATGAACCCTAGATTGTGAAATTGAGACTTTTGATTAATTGGTGTAATTAGAAGTCTATTGAGGATTCTATTGAGTTGTTTGACCCATTGGAATAGTGTTTTGAGTTTTGGGATGGTCGATTTGAAGTTGAATTGAGGATTGGTATAAGCCAAGGGATTTAAATCTCCAATTGTCATTGTTAATCACTTAATTAGTTTGTTAACTAATATGTAGTAAATGTGTGTGATTGTGTAGATTGTTTGTAATTGGTGTATTGTGCACAGGACAGCTTGCTATGGTAATTGATCCTATCTAAGGCAAAAAATAACTACTTTTCATTCATTATATATGTTAATATGTTGTTTGTAAGTAGTTTATGTTTTCGAATTATAAATGTTATTTTGGCATATACTTGGGGCTATATTGATATATGGAAATGACTATATTTTCTGGGATTACTTTTGAAAATGTAATCCTTGGATTTGCAATAATGTGTTATTACTTTAAATTTTGATTTGGAAATTGATTATAGAATTGAAAATTGACCACTTGTTGGATTTCTCGAGCATGATGTATATGATGAGAATTGGTGAGTGAACTGTGTCTATTATTGTCATGTGCTAAGTGTCTCCATCAATACATGACGATTAGCTTGCAGTGCTTCCCCCATAAGAAGAGAATGTCTCCTTTTCTTGTATTCCCCATAGTGAGGGATTGACTTAGGTTTTATCTCCCAAATGAGAGATTAGCCATTTTAGCTCATACTTCCCACATAGTGAGGGAATGTAGTTATTGGGGTTACATTTACATGATAATACTGATGGATTGTTATGAGAATTTAGATTATTGTGTTGAGATATATATATATAATATATATCTAACATGTTTTTATATCTGTTTCATTTGACCTCACAAGAACAGTTAGTATATATGATGAGCTGACTATTCATTACTGAGGCTTTTATCTCACTTGTGATTTAAACTGTTTTCAGGTGTGAAAGTTCTAGAGGTGTATCGTCAGGGAAGAATCCAAAGGCCTAAGCTTTTACAGTTTCTTGTATTGCTTCTGCTTCTTTTTATATGTGTTGAAGAAATTGCATATTGCCATATAGGCCTCCTATCTTTTGTATATTCTCTATCGATTAAATATTTATTTATTTAACGTGTAATGGTTTTATTGAATTATGTTTAAGTGCTGGTAGTAGGCCAAGGGATTCTGCATGTGACTTTTGTAGATGAATTGTGATTATTTCTAGTACATGTTACGTATTATTTCAGTAATGGGCTCAATATTGTTTTTATATGGGGGGTTTGAAGCTTAGAGGCCTAGTTCAAAGTGTTGATATTTGACAACTGTATTAATCAGGGGTTGTTTCCTGTAACCATGGTTGTAGGGTTGATTCATTTCACAGGTGGTTTTGCTTGTTCTAATTATTCGAAATCTTTTATTCAAGAATGCTTTCAAAAGATGAGTTGAAACCTTTCCACTATAATAGTTTTATGTAATTGTTTTTATTTTCTACCATAATAGAGTTTTAATTGACCTTTCAGTAAGCAAATCATCGATTTTAGATGAAAATTTTACAAGTTTGACTTATAAAAAGTAGTCGTAAAAAAAAGTAGATTAAATCTTTAGATTCTAAATCACCTTATGAAAACTTATAAATATTATTTTCTGAAAAAAATATTTAAAAAACTTTTTATGCTAGTTGTAATAAATATATGGTGTAAAAAATATATTTTAAACTGATTGTAACGGTTTAAAAATTTGTAAATATTATTTTTTAAATACATATTTTTAATACTTTTTATACTGGTTGCACAACCATCCGGTGTAAAAAGTATATTTTACACTAGTTATATGTAAAACTGGTTTAAAAAATTTATCAATATTTATGGAAATATCACCAGTCAAAATTTTTATACTGTTGCCGTAGTGAACAGTGCAGGTTAAATGGTATAAAAAAGTTTTTTTTTTTTTAGCAGTGTTGGTTGGAATTATCCTAATGCTAGGTTGCTGGAGCCATGCCATTTCAATTGTCATCCATAAAGCAGAGTGCCTTTCTCATCCATCGTCATTGTCGGTGGGACCAGACTTTTTGTTTGTCCCGCTATTCCCCCCCCCAACTCTCTCTCTGTTTTTTTTTTTTTAATTAGAGGCGTATGAAACTTCTACTCACGACTAAAGTCCATATCGGGAACAAGTTTTGCAGGTGAAATGGCCAAATTATCCCTGACAACATTAGGAAGATAGCAAATTTGACGAAATAATTGATTTTCTCCATACATTTAATTAAAGTAATATACATTAATAACTAATAAATTTAATTCTAATTTTTTTTTGCACATCCAACACTTACCATGTTATTGTTGTTTTTTTAGTTATATCCCACATTCTAATTTTATTTATGATTTAAGGTGTTAGATGTATTATTAATATGATTTAAGTACTAAAAGTATAAAAAAATAATATCAATGTATTAACGAAAAATTGGGAAATTGACAAATGAGACTTAAGGACTTTATGCAAATTAACTTCTATTGTGTTCAACTTAATTTTCTTTATATGTAATTTATCTTCTCTTATGTGTAATAATCTTTCTTTGAGCGATGTACAATTTAATTTCTTTTTGTACAAATAAAATTTTCTTATGTGTAAGTCATCTTTGTTATGTATAAACTAATTTCTTATATCCAAATAATGTTCTATGCAAATAATCTTTCCTTTGTGCAATTTAATTTCCTTTGTATGCAACTAATCTTTTCTTATGCAATCAATCATTCTAAATCTTATTTACCAATTAAATTTTTAACGAGAGATTTATTCTCAATTTTTTTCTAAGATAAAAGCACTGTATGTATCAAAAAAATATGTCGGGTACTACTTTATTATAAATAAATTCCTCCACCATGAATATCATTGGTGCTTGGTTTAGCTTATTATAACCAATTTTGCACGGTATAAAATAAAGCACCAAAAAAAAAAAAAGTCTTTTTCCCAAATAAACCCCGAATCGACTTCTGGTCATTAATCGCCCAATAGGAAAATTTCTCCCAGAGAAGAGATATTGGAATCATTAGTTAATTACTGTGAGCTCTCCGAACTCAGTTTAGCATTTGTTTCAAAGGAGTAATTAATTGATAATTTATTTAATGAATCACTTTATAATAGTATAATATTCTTTTTTGAAAAACTCCAAACAGTTAAAAAGGGTATCCCTCCCGGCCCCCTAACATATCTGAAAACAATATCAACGTCAATATCAATAAACATATACATATGCGCGCGCGCGCACACACATATATATATATATATATATATATATTATACTCCTCCGGTTCTTAATATAGAACCTAATTGTTGAGTTGGTTTTAGTTCTAAATATAAGACCTATTTCTCATATTTATCAATTTTCTCTAAATTACCCCTACAGAGACTCCCTCAACCATAATCAAGTAGTAGAAGAAGAGGAGGTATTAAGAAAGATGATTATGGTATTTTAGGAAAAACATGTGACATTTCTTATAATTAACTAACTTACCTAACATCATTAATCTAATCAAATTAGTTAAATGGGTTTTATATTAAAGACAGGAGGAGTATATAATTATGATGCCTATCGCTAAATTAAAGTTACACGAATTTTTGTCCATAAATATCCCTAGTCATCCCAACTTCAAGCAAACGTATAATTCATAGAGCAGCAAAGCTCGTCCCCATATGTAAATTGTTCAAAAGGCGCGGATTTGTATTCCTCCTCGTCCCCCGTCTCTCTCTCTCTCTCTCTCTCTCTCAAATTTCTCTCTCATTTCATGCCTCCTCTGTGAGGCGCGTGGCCTTCGAATCTCTTCCTTCTCCTTCCTTTCCCCGTCTTCCTTTTCGTGCTTTCATTTTCATCAACTTCTTAAACACTCTCTCTCCCCCTTAGCTGTTCTGTAACTGCTCATTTGCATCTTAATTCTCTCTCTGGAAATCCTCTCATCATGTGTCACTTGAGCAACACTCTGATAGGGATCCTCAACTTCTTCACCTTCCTCTTCTCTATTCCCATTCTCTGGGTCGGTATTTGGCTCAGCAAGCACGGCGCCACCGAGTGTGAAAAATGGCTCGACAAGGTTTTCATTGTGTTGGGTGTGTTCCTTCTCTTGGTGTCGCTGGCGGGACTCGCCGGCGCTTGCTGCCGCATCTCCTTGCTCCTCTGGATTTACCTTGTCGCCATGTTCTTGCTTATCCTTGTCGTCTTAGCTTTCACAATCTTCGCTTTCGTTGTTACCAACAAAGGCGCTGGGAAAGTTTTATCGGGTAAAGGGTATAAGGAGTATAGGCTCGGTGATTACTCTCACTGGTTGCAGAAGAGGGTGAACGACTCAAATAATTGGAAGACGATGAAGAGCTGTCTTCAGGCTGGGCAATACTGCTCCGTCTACCAAAAGCTGTATGCCAAAGACGATGTTAACGAGTTCAATAAAGAGAAACTAACTCCGCTTCAGGTATTTTGGGAATTAATTTCGTCCTTCAATATCAACTGTTTCTCTGGGTTTTTATCTGTTGTCACGTGTTTATGTTAGATTTTTGCCTCAACGTGGGTAATTGCGTGTGTTCTGTGTGGATCCAATTCGGAATTCACTTACTGTATTAGCGTTCTTTACATTTCAAGTCATGGTCGGAGCGCGCTCTGCACATGGTTCTTTAGCTATTTGAATTGAATATCTTTGTTAGTCTGAACTCTAGTATGAATACGACTGGGGTTTTTTGTTCTTCAATTTTTTTTTGATTTTGTCTTTTCTCTTTTCATTTCGTGTGGTAGTTCGATTTTCTCGATAGACTACCATGAGAGGATAAAAACTCCAGGCAACAGTGCCACCTTCCGCTACCCCGCGGGGAGGAAGGGCCTTTTTTTCTTCACAATTCCTTTTAACTTTTGAGTATGCTCACAGCTCAGCCCGAGACGGTAAGTTTGAAATTCTAGAAATTTCTGGAAAAGCCGCATATTCGTAATAGTACTCTGTATTTTATACTTTCCGTCTTTTTCTAGGTATTCAAGGTCCATTTTTCGAAAGGAGATGGTCTTTTTAAATTGGTGCCTTTTTTTTTTTTAGTCTGAAAAGTGAAACAAACACCATGCTTTTACTTTATCACGTAATCTCCGATGCATTTTTGTTTGGATTTTTAAAAGTGCGTTCCAAGCCAAGAAGATTTAATTCTTGTGAATTTTTTAAAAAATGTGATGCATTGTACAACGAAAGAGATCACCCATACAGTTTGGATGTTGCCTTCAGTTTCTAAAAATTGCTGTTTTGAGCTGCTATTCCTTAGTTATAGCCACTAAGTACATGGATGCTGGTGCGTCTAGTTCTTGTTGGCATAAGCTATTTGAAACTGCAAATGAAATAACAGTAAGATTCAAATAAGCTGAGTGTAGCTTATCGTAGTTGCTTATCTAATAGGTGTCTTATTTATGCATAATTTACTTGGTACGAGGTACAAGTTCTTATTGTTCTGGTGGAATGTAATGTTCAAATGGTTTGACCGAACTTCATATGGTCTCTTGGCTCAGAAACTTGAACATAGAATGAAACTAGCACTTAGTTCTGATTGTGAACTAGTTTATTAACTGGTGCTAGAATTTGATATGTATTTGGATCTCAGGGCAAAGCCTGGAAGATGAACTTGACATATCTTTCTGCTAAACTATGGACGCTTTCTGATGTTGACATGTTTGGTTCTTTGTGTGCAGTCTGGGTGTTGTAAGCCATCAAACGACTGTAACTTTGTATACCAGAGCCCAACGGTGTGGAACAGTACGGCAAATTCAAATTATGCCAATCCTGATTGTCGTGCTTGGAACAATGATCCCAAGGTGCTGTGCTACGACTGTAATGCATGCAAGGCTGGGATGGTGCAAGACATCAAGACTAAGTGGAAGAAGACGGCTAAGATTAACATAATATTCCTCATCTTGCTCATTATTGTGTATTCCGTTGGGTGCTGCGCATTCAGAAATAACAGGAGGGACAATTGGAAGTGATGTCATAGGCTCAGAAAAATCAGAATAAACGTAATTAGCATCTAGATGGATCAAGTTAGTTTCTATGTTTCAGTAATAATGTAATATGCTCTGCTTGCTGTAGATTGCTGTAAATTGCTCAACTTTGTGTTACATTTCCCAGTGTTTCTTTGGGATGTATGGAGTCTTGATCTTCTTCTTATTCTTAACTTGATATAGCTCTGTAGAGCTTGTTATCTTACATTTGATTTGCATGTGCCTCGTTAGTTTTGTGCAAAGCATTTTGCTAGTCTGCAAGTAAACCAAGGAGGGTTGAATTGCCCTTTTGAAAATTGTCATTTTTTTGGAGAAAATTTCACATTCTTAATTACTTTTTTTTTCCTTTTTAAAAGCGGGTTCTTGTTATCTTTAAAGTAGAGATTAGAGAGGAAAGAAGTGCTGAAGTGGTCCTACCATATCAGCAATAATTCAATATGATAAGCATTCAAGTTGTCTTTTGTTCATTGAATTGAAGTTTGAATTTAAAAACTTTATCAATGAGTAGTGGATTTCTGACCCAAAAATCTTTTGTGGGCCCGACTGAATGGGCCTAATAACCATATTCCCCACTTGATTTGCCTTTAGTTTTCTAATGAATATGGTGCTTCCCTACTCCCCAGGTTTGGGAAATGAATCAATTTTCTTCGATTTATCTGTTTGTATTTTTGAACATTATAGTAAAAAAATGATAAAAAAAATTTACTTTTGCAAAAAAAATAAATTATATGCTTACATTTTGAATGTCATAGTTAAAAATCTCTACTTACTTAATAGTTGGGAGTTCATCTTGCAATGAGCACTACTCTAGTTTTATTGATAAAAATGAGTCAAATGTAATTATTAAGATAAAACATTAATATGATTTATCCTAGGGAAATTTTTTTAAAAAAGTTTGACAATTATGTGACAGAATTTAAATTTAATATTTGTTTCTTTTTTTTTTTAGAATAAACGTTTACTCTTTAGGATGAGCAGTTTTCAAGATTTACTGTCTTCTGAAATTATATTAAATGTGACATATATCGTCCATATAACCCCATCGTTGTTTTAAGAGATATTTAAAGACCTATAGTCTGCATATAAATTATTTATTAGAATACCCTAATAGCTATTGTCTAGGCTCATACAACTGAATTGAATTTATTTTCATTGGTAATGTTGACGTTGACAGTTTCAAGAAATACATGCCACTAGTTCGTAATTTTCTTTTTGGCCAAATGATCAAATCAAAATACAACCAAAATTGTGTGGTAGTCAATGAGTGATCTTGCTCTCTGATACATGCGGTGACAGAAGTGCTTCTTCCAAATCTGTTTTGCAACTTATCTGATCATTCTGATCAGTTTTCAGTTGTGCCTCTTCTTTGACCCCTTCAACCTCTTTGGCCTTACCCCACAGCACTATGTACAAACCACTTATCACTGCAAGACCTCCTATCAAGCTGATCAATGAAGAATAATAGCCATTTAGTGCTTAATTATTGTACATTAAACTTTCCCAGGAAAAAAAAAAGTGCATTAGTTACCTTCCAACATATAAATCTTCATGTAGAAAAGTAGCAGAAACCATGGCTGTGATCACTGTGCATAACGGGTTGAACATTGCACAGAACAAAGGGCCTCTTTTTGAGATGGTCCAACTTTGAATGAAAAAACTTACAGCAATTCCAATTCCCTATTAAAGATGAGGAAAAAAAAAGCAGCTTCTATCATTTATTAGTTATTAATAATTGAACAAAACAGATCATGTTAATTTTGGAGGAACCTGGGACTTACTGCATACAAACAACTTGAATATTCTAGAGCTGAATTTAGAATCCATGCTTGGGAATCTTTTTCAACAACCAGTGTGAATATGGCTGACTGTATTGCCGCCATTAAACACATCCAAAATGTTGAAACTACATGGTCCGGGCAGCTTGCAGATACTGGTACCTGCTTCAAATATTAAGCTTCAGATTTCCACTGATGCGAACTAAGACTACACAAACACTGAGGTTCTCCTTTTTCTGGTAGACACTAACGGCTTGAGGTTACAGGAAGAATCAAACTTGCAACCTCCTACTTATGAGGGAGTTTTGATGCCACTAGGTTGCAAAATAATCAAGTTATCTTGTTTCAGTTTCTTTTTTTTTTTTTGGGGGGGGGGGGGGTGAATATACCTGCATGATCATCCAAAATGCCCAAAAGATACTGCTTGCCAAGAGAAATCCACAACCAAGCAGCCAATTGTCACCATGTAAGCCAAAGGTTTGTTTAGAAAGAAGGAACCGCAAGTGTAACAGTTTCTGTCCTTTGAGCAACGCCATAGTTATGGCTCCACCGACACATAATACTGTTCCTGTTATCTTGGCTATGCTTCTCAAGCTTCTTACATCTATTTTCTCCAATCTAACCCATTTAAGATCAAAGCAAATTATCACAGTTAGCATGAGAGTTAAAGTTTGAGTATCAGATAGGCAAATTAAAATGTCAATCCTCTGTTTACGAAGTGTTTCCAAGTTGCTCAATTAAGAGGAACAAGCGCAATTACCCGAAAATTGTTGCAAGAACGAAGGTTACTGCTGGTATTAGATTACTCATGGCTGTAGTGACTGTAGAAGATGACAAATGTAAACCTTCAAAATAAGCATTCTGATTTGCTGTTACCCTGCAAAACAAAGTCATGCTTCCGGTAAGTTTCATCAACCCTTGTTACAAAAAGGTTTAGATCCTCTCAAATAGGCCAATGATAGAAGTACATGTACATCCATCTAGATCCTCTCATGGGGTTCCATGAACAAGGTGCAGTGAACTATTCTAAGGGGAACAATAGCTTTGGCATATTGTTCTTTGGCATAGTGTAGATGAGTTGTGATTCTGTCTATATGTTGGATGTTAATTTGTTATATCATCAAACTCAAGTAGTAGTCAGAGACGGGGAGAGAAACTTTAAATGTTAAAAGCTCATTAATTTTCCTTTATCTACACTGTCTATGTCACTGGAGAATAGTTTATGTATCTCTTTATAACTGATATGATCTCTAACTATTGTATAAATCAAGTGTTCATCAAGCACACCATCTTTGCTTAAAGAAATATAAAAGTAATAGCACTAACAGAAGTATTATCGAAGTTTTGTTCGTCTGACAAATCTTACCCAATTAAAGAGGTGGCAAACATCAAAGACAAGCTCTTCAATCCCAGTGAAGTCCTGAGAGAAGGTCTCCTGCTAGCAACCATAAATCAATGGGAGAGTATAAGAAACCGAGAATCACAGTAAAAATTGAAGAGGTTTAATTTATTACGTACCTCTTGCAGGATAAAGCAAAGGGAGCCATTGCCAAAGTGGCAATGGCTTGCCTGTACACAACAAAGACTCTGGTGTTCATTCCATGCAAGAGAGCAGCACGCGTGAAGATGGCAAGAACTGCATAATGAAACTGTAAGCCAATCATAGCCATTGCAGGAACATAAACTTCTAACCCACCCACCATCTTTTCTTTGATACTGCACCAACCTAACGTTAAATGAAGTAACAGACAGAGCCCGTAGGTTTATGGGTATGTGTCCACACACACATACACACAAAAACTCAGACACACATATATTTGGCCACAGCTTGGAAAGCACAGAACAAAGTTGTGGTTAACATTTAAGAATAATGTCTAATGTCCAAAAGATAAGGTTGTGATTGGAGAGTTAACGCCGGAGAAGGAAGATAATGAAAGAGGATATATATCAGGGAGGCCAGAGATAAAACATACATATGAGCGGAAGTTTCTAGTAGGGGAATAAAGTAGTATTAAAATGTGTGAATATGTGATGCGGAGACAGTTGTGGAAGCTAAAATCTTAAAAATTAAATGTTAAATGTGGATTCCTAATGTACCATCGAGCTGTCACCTTCGTGCATTGTACGGGACTCGCGGCGGCTGGTATTATCATCCTAATCCAAATCATCCAATCAGCTGCTTCACGGACGATATCGGTTTTCCACGTCAACAATGGTTGGCTCACCCACACATCATTTTGTCAAAATCATAGAACTCACTTAATTTGTTTGTGATTGGTGCGAGGATCAATTAAGCTAATTTGGTGAATTAATTAATATTAAACGCAAGTTGGATTCAGATTCCAGAACGTGACATGTGCTCAAGACATTGCGATCTCATGAAGTACCGTGGGATCATTAATATTGCATTTGATTAGATAACGCATACCCTTGATTATGTTGAAGATTTAGATCTTAAAATATTTAATCGAAAGATTGTAAAAATTATCATTATTTTAAAAATAAAATAAAATTTATTTAGTAGTATAGAAAGGTAACAATAATCAAAATAAATAAATTTTACATAATCAATATCTATCATATAAAAAGGTAATAATATACTGTAATTCAAATCTAATTCTCGGCATTTATCCACATCCGCTCTTGTTGGAAGCCGAAGGTTCATGAACCTTGTTTGTGAGGCTTTTATTTGAGCTCCTTTCCCTATCATTATTACCAGAGTAATATACAGTATACACTGGTAGCGACTGGGACCAAAGTCCTTCAGTTTTAGGCGCCGAAAGCAAAAGGCAAGAACATGGCATTTCATATTATTGTACTGAAAAGCAGGCGAGAGAGAGACGTCCTTGAAGTCCCAAGTCGCCACTAACAAATGCTGTTTTTATTGTTGCCATTTTAGCCGTTCAAACTTAAAATTTCAAATTTAAATTTATGTGAATACGAAAAACGCACCTAAACATGCACCCATATATATAAAGGGATAATTAATATATAAGTCCTTATAGTTTCAACTGATTTTTAATCAGGTCCCTATAATTTTTTTTCTTTTTATCAGGTCCTTATACTTTCATATATTTTTAATCAAGTCCTTATAATTTTTTTTTTATCAAGTCCTTATTGTTTTACTTTGTTTTTAATTAGGTCCTTGTAGTTTTTATTCTTTATTTTATAAATAATAAAATTTTTAAAATAATAAATTATTGTAACAATCTTATGTTAATATTCTTTTAAATTTTTAGTTAAACAAATATATTATTTATTTTCAATTCGAATTTTTATAATTATAAAATTCAAATTATAAAAATAAATTTTTCTAAAATTAAAATATGATTATAAATAATTTATATTTAAGTATAATTATTATTCTGATTATTTATTAATTACTAAATGATTATATTAATTATTTTGTTCAATTATATAATTATTAATTTAAAAATGAAATTAATTTTAAAGAATAAAGTTAATAAATAATTTTTCAAAAACTACAAAGCACCTAATTAAAAAATAAGCGAAACTATAAGGACCTGATAAAAAGAAAAAAAAATAGAATGACCTAATTAAAAACACACGAAAGTAAAAGGATCTGATAAAAAGAAAAAATTTTATAAGGACCCAATTAAAAATCAGATAAAACTATAAGGACCTGGAGATTAATTATCCCTATATATAAATAAAAAAGGTTGTTAAAAAGTCATAATATTAAAAGTCGTGGGAGATAATAATACAACCGCCAAGCTAGCTACGTGGGTGTAATATGATTATTAACTAAAACGAAAGATATATTTTATAAAAGACTAAAATATACATTTAGTTTTTTAACTTTTTACAAGATTTCAGATTAATATCTTAATTTTGAAAAGTACATTTTGTTTTTTAACCCTAAAATACTTAATCTTAAATGATTTTTTTTGTAATAATTATAGATGTTTTGAAAATTAAACTTAATAAGTTTGCGTATGAGAATATTTTATAAACATTTAAAGTCTCAATATCATCATTGTTTATTAATGGTTTTAGAGTTAAAGGAATAAAAAAATTAAAAATATACTTTTTGAAGTTAAGAAAACAAACTGAAACTTTGTATAAAGTTTAATAACCAAAAGTATACTTTGGCTTTTAGAAAAATTAATATGAATAAATAATTTAATTAATTTTCTTAATATTTATAAATAATTAGTTATTTAATTCTTAGTTAGTAGTATGATAAGGAACAGAAACCACTTTAGGATAAGTATATGACAGCTGTATTATTTGTCCTTGTACCTGTATGTGTTCATTGTTTACTTTATTGTGCCCCCACCTTACCATATAAACATGGACAATGAGAGCCAGTCGACTACCAAGGCTTTTATTTCATTTCCCATTTTGTGAATCTTTTGTCTCCTTTCTTTCTTCCTCCTTTTCAACAATAAATTCAGCAACTATTTATGTGATAAAAAGCTTCTTTTCCAGAACCACATATAGTCCATGGCAGGTAGAGAAATTAAAAGCACCTGCTCTTTTTTTAAGTTAGTAGATAAGATGCTTATATTGCCATGCAAAATTTGGAATATAATTAAAAGCACCAATATTCCTTTATTTAGAATGTGTATTATTCCCATTTGTTCCCTCGAAGCAACAGATTCCAACATCCACTGTCCTGTTAAATCGGATTGAATGCGAGCATAGATGCTTCCCGCAGCATTAATTGCCTTAAAATCTGTAATTTTTGTAGGGCTACAAAATTCACGATACACTTTGCTTTTATCTTTTCTTATAAATATATTTAGGTTTGATTTGATTGATTTTGTATTAGAGAGGATAAAAACGTCATTTAGCTAATTGAGATGGACTCTATAAAAAAGGGTCTAATATGATGTGTGTTCATTTCAGTAAAAAGAGGGAGGAGGACACCTTGGATGCCTTTCCTTAATTTCAATTCTCGGTGCTTAACATTTTGCTAATAGCTTTTTCGTCCAAGAGATCTATAGACAGATGACTCGGGGGATCCCTTTCCTCAGTTTTCCCGAAAGTGAGAGCACACTGGTCTCAGTCTTCCGCCCTTATCGGGCTCGGTTCAGCTCATTTTATGGCCCAACAAATTTATATTTTATTACTGTATTATTTTGCTAAAGTTAATTACTTTTATTTTAAAGAGATTACAATTTAGAATAAGAAATCCTTTTTATTTTAAAGAACACGATGTTAAATTAAATTAGTGCATATGCTTCTGAATATGCTTTAATAAGAGACACAATCACTCTCTATATTATATATATATATATATATATAATGTTATATTTAAGTATTCAGGAACCTAATTAAGATATACATACACTTCTCTCTGTCATCTAGCCTAGCCAAGACGTTTAATTTTTATTTCCGTGAAGTGTGCACTAGTTAAGAGTACTCAGCGCACGCCAATATATGATATATGGAGATATATGAAAAGCCAAGTTGAAATTCGTCCCTTTAATTTATCCCAAGAACAGGAAATATGACATTGCCTTCGTTACTTAATATAAGACCTTATTTGAATTTTATTTTGGTTATAAATATAAGATCCCAATCCACTTTGTCTTTCATATTTATGTATTTTTTCTCAATGTAATCCTTCTAACAATAGTAGTTCTAACCAATACACTTGATTAGTAAGGATATTTCAGGAAAGACAACACTTATTTATTACAAATAACTAACTTAGCTTCTTTTTTTAATCTCCTCAAATTAGTCAACCAATTCTTATAATTAGGACCGGAGGTAATACATCATTTGGTGCTGAAAAAACAAGCTAAATCAGCTTGTGCTAATTAAGAATGCGGTTGAAGATTATTTTTAGCAGAGAGGAGGGGTTCCTTCAAATCAATTTTACAGCAACATGCTTTCTCATCAAACGATTCATCTTTCACTATATTCATCGTATCATCATGTAATGTTTCATCAATGTCAGTTTTCAATGTTGGATCTTCTGCCGTCTCACCAACTTCTTCAGCCTTACCCCACAGCACAACATACAACCCCATTATCACTCCCGCTGCTCCTATCAAGCTGATCCAAATCAACCCAGGAAAAAAGAAACCATTAGAGTAATCAAACACTAATCATATATCCTCACAAACATTATCGTTCATACCCAGTCGAGTCTTTTAGTAGTTCTGTGGCAAATTAAGTAATAACGAAGAATAATACTCCTCCGGTTCTTAATATAAGGCCTATTTAACTAATTTGATTGAATTAAGAAAGTTAGGTTAGTTAGTTAATTATAAAAAATATATATTTTCTTTAAAACACTATAATCATCTTTCTTAGTATCCTTTCTCTTTCTTTTACTTGATTATAGTTGATAGAATACTTATAGGGATAATTTAAAAAAAATCGATAAATATGATAAATAGCTCTTATATTTATGACTAAAATCAACTTAATAATTAGGTTCTATATTTAATACCGGAAGAGTAGTATGTTATACCTTCCAGCGTAGATCTCTTCGTGAAGAAATAACGCAGCGAATACAGTCACAATCACTGTGCACAGAGGATTGAACATTGCAGAAAAGAGAGGACCTCTCCGTGAAATGCACCATGCTTGAATAAAGAACGACACTGCAGATCCTATGACTCCCTGGTAACAACACACACGCACACACATATGTTATTCCAGTGTGGATCTATAAAAATATAGGAACCATTTATGGATACTTTGGCACTACTCGAAGGAATGTGGAAAATTATGGACATACTGAGTATACACAGCAGGCCAGTTCAAGAACTGAATGGATCTTCCATGTTTGAGGGTCTCGTTCCAAGACCAGAGTAAGTGCTGCTGATTGCAGTGTTGCCATAAAACACATCCAAGCGGACGAAGATATGTGATCTGGGTGGCTCGCCGACACCGGAACCTGACCAAAAACATGAAATCAGAACGTGCAGGGAGCTCTTACGGCACTAGGCTACAAGGCCAAAACGCTGGCTTTGTCAAGCAATGCTAGAAACATTTAGATAAGTACCTGCAAAATCAGCCAAATAGACCATAAACAACAGCTTCCAAACAGAAAGAGACAACCCAGCAACCAGCTCTGATCACCTCCGGACTCCATTACTGGTCTTGGCAGCAGAGTTGAGTTTAATAGCTTTGGACCTCTTAGCAATGCCATGGACACGGCTCCGCTTACGCACATCAAGGTCCCTGCTATCTTTGCTACGCTTCTCGGGCTCCGAATATTCACTCTCTCCATTCTAAAATAATCAAGCATATTCACAAGATAGCGTTAATCAAAAGTTTGCAAACATATATATTAATTAGGTTTGTTTATGTTCAGAGAGTTTATAAATCTGAAGATGGGTTTCGATTCATGATCCCAGTAGAGCTGAGCTGCTAGAGCACTAATTATTTACCCCGCAAAAACAGCAATTATGAATGTGACGGCTGGAATAAGATTTGCCATAGCACTTGCAATTGATGAAGAAGCCAAATGTAAACCTTCGAAATAAACATTCTGGTTGATCGTAACACTGTGGCAGAAGCATAAAAATAATTATTGCATTATCTCAAAGGCTCCAAACCACTAATTATCTAAGCCGCAAAATTCAAGTTACTGAAACTAACAAACCCTATAAGCGAGGACAAGAACAACAAGGTGAAACTCCTTAAACTCAACGAACAGGAGCCGGATTTTCTTCTGCAAAAGTAACAACATATACATAAGAAACTAATGTTTGTACGAGAGAGAATGACTATATATATATGTATGTATGTGCGTACCTTGAGAAATAGGCAATGGGGGCAAGAACGGTAGTAGCTATAGCTTGTCGATAGAGCACAAAAACTCGAGGGCTTAAGCCTTGTATTAAAGCGACTCTGGTACTGAGAGAAAGGCCTGCATAAGTGAACTGAAGAACCAGCATAGCCACTATAGGCTCTAATCGTCCCATAACTATAACCATCAAATTGAACGAACCAGGAGAGCTCCACAAAAGTCAAAAGTGTGAAGTGCCTGAAAGTGATAATTCTTCTGTATGTGATTGTTAATAAATAGGACAAATTTCATAAGATGGCAATTTAATTTCCTTCTTGACTACACTACTGTCTGTGCCTGTAGCTAATTCCCAATGGGATGCTTCTTTTGTGTGGTGTCAGAAAACGCTTAGCTTGCAGCCACATGCATGCTCGTGGGTTCCACGTACGCGTGATGCTGCTTACATGCGTTACATCTTTGTTTGGCAAAGGCAAATCGGCCCATATATTCACTTTCTGTACTGTGAAAAATCACTTGAAATAAAATAAAATACAATAAGAATATATCATTTACATTAATTGTATGTGTAATATAATGAATAGAAGTAAGGAAAAATGACCAAAAAAAAACTGAAAATTACTAAATGTTAAATAAGGAATATCAATAAAAATTTATTGTCATTTGCAAATTCAGCATTGTCAACACTAAATAAAATGTTATTACCAGACCTGATTTGAAATTTAATAATTTTTAGCTTTTTTTGTCATTTTTCCTAGAACTAATTTGAAATTTTTTTAAAAAGACAAATATAGTAGGTAAAGGTGATTGAGAGGTTTCATGCCTAGGATCAAAATTAAATGAATTCCTCAACTAATAACTAGCTTAAGGGGTGTAAGACTAATAATGATTGGCTTAACCAATCACGTAATTGGTTTAAGACTAATAATGATTCTCCCACATGCATCATGTCATGCTTTTATGTTTAACAAAACAACTTGCGTCACTGCTTAATATATAACCAAAGCATCAAAAAGCACTGAATCTGGACGACTCTGGATCTTTCCTTTGCTTTCATCTTCTTCCGGTGGATGTTTGTCGTATCTTTCAGATCATTACCCCGTCAAGCTTTGGCTCTCTTATGCGTACATATGACCTACAATTAAATATATATATATATATATATTATATTATCTCACACTATATAATTAGATACGGAAAATTATTGACTGAAGCCGCTGAACTTTGGATATGCATGCTGAACGATAGTGCACAATATATATAATTGATCAGATAATGAAAAGAAATATTAATGAATATACAATATCATCTTGTCCGTGTCTGATAGCATAATATTACTCACAGTCCTTTATATAAGAGTTAGATTACTAATTTACAGATATTAAAAAAATTAGTTAAGTTAATTATATATAACAAATGTATGTTGATTTCTCTAAATTACTATATTTAATCATACATATTAACACTGCGCTTTGGTGGAAACTTCTTAGAATCTATGGGGATATTTTGAAGAAAAAAATTATAAATTTAAGAGACAAAGTAAATTGAGATCTTATATTTAAGAGTAAATCCAATCCTGAAACTAATTTTTATATTTAGAATAAGAGGTAGCATGACTCATAATAACAAAGCTACCATGTGCTTGAGCAGTCGATCTTTGACTCTTTGTATGGATGCAAATTGAACGAAACAGACCCGAAAAGGGATGGGTTTGTCTCTAACCATATATTTTAATTGAAGATAGATCTATTAGTTGTCTCTGTGTTTCAATATTTGAAAATAATTTTTTTAATACTATTCGGGGAAAAATATTCTTATATATGTTAACTTTTGATTTGGAAAATAATATTCGTGCATTAATTTTGAGATGCCACATAATAAAATTTATTAAGTTCTTATAGGGATTAGTTTTCAAGGGAAAAAAATCATACCATCTCCGGTCTTAAATATAAAATTGATTTACAAACTAGATCTTATATTTAGGATTAAAAATAATATTTTTGTATGATGCATACATTTTAGTTAAACAATAAAAGGGGAGAGGATCACCAGTTGTAGTTTGAAAGTAATTTGAAGTTTGATGGATGTGATAGATTCTTCTATATTCAACAGAATAGTCTCAATCTGTGGGAGACCACGTCTTATTAGTTTCCTTTTAATTAATACATAGTTCATAGAAATTTGCAAAATTTTTTATATTTGAATTTTTTCTAAGAAGAAGAAGGCCAACTAATAAGGGTTGGATCCAGTGAAAGGGACTAGTCCCTCATAACATGATGAATCAAGGTTCGAATTCCTGTTGGAAGAGGTGTCCATATTTAGTACTCGATAGTGCTTCGAATAGAATTGCCTCCAATAACAGGATACTTATACTTTAGCAAAAAAAGAAGGAGGCCAAATTAACGCATAATGTGTACAATTTTCTACACATTGTAGCAACATTTAAATCTAAATCTAAATAAGAAAAATAATTGGTGAAGACGAAATGGATAGTATAGAAGACGAAATATAGGAAATATGAAGACATGGTTTTTTTTCCCCCTTCGTGTGATTATTTTTCTTAAAAGATTTGATTTTTTTGTCCTGGCTTCAACGATATTATAGGAAGAGAAATCTAATATGATAGTTCAATATAAAGGGCCATCAGCCAAGATTGTTTGGGCCGACGCAATACCCAGGGCGTGGTCCAGGAGTTGGGTTTCCACATGGAATATGCCACCCAGTCCCCTTGGATATGAATGCTAAAAGGAATTAATAAACTTTGTTTTTTTCTTAATTCTGTTTTTAATTGCCTTTAATATTTTTCTCTCTTGCCAGAATATAACGAAAACTTAATTTAAATGCGTAAGACACATGATGAAAAATAAAAATATGTGATGGTTGGCCAAAAAAAGAAAAAAAAAAGTGCGTGATTATGTTTCTCATGTCATAATAATAGGGAAAGTTGCTTTTTAACTGGGCCCTATAAAACTTAAGAATTTGATTCAATGCCATATAGATGTATAAATTGAAAATTAAAACCTTGTATATTTTTAATTAAGTAAATACTTGTCATATAAAATTTTAAACCATCATAACAATAGGTGTTTTTTTGTTTGATAAACATAACAATAGGTGTTAAACAAGGGCAAGATAAATTAAATGATGTAATTCTCTTGGCTAATGGCTAATGTAACACAACAGAAAATAATGAAACGTTATGTATCAAATATGTAAGGTAATGAGGACAAGAGATAAATTAAGATGTAAAATATGACAACCACTTATAAAAAATAATATTAATCTAATAATGTTAATCTCTACATAAAAAATATATACCCACAACCTGCTATCTATTATTGTTGGCTCATAAGTAAATGAAAAGGTGTTATAATAAAAAAAAAAGTAAATGAAAAGGAGATAAATCAGAAATAAATGAAAGGAGAAAGCCCTCGGTGAATGGATTTGTCCCAGATTAAAAACTACTTATTATGACAAATTATAAAATTTATGCTTCCACTAGTCTTAATTATGAGACAAAGTCAATTAACTTCATGATTTTTAAAAGAGGTAGTTATTTCTTTTTTCTTTTTATAAATTACTTCTAATATATTTCACACAAATTAAGAAAAACGTTAAATTTCATTAACTTTATTTTAAAATTCAATAACTTTTCAACTTTATTTTTATCTAATATATATTATATCCTGTGCGAATAAAGTCAATACAATAATAAATAAATGGTACAATTATACTCTCCCCATCTCTTATTATAAGATCTAATTTCTTGAATAGATCTTTCTCTTTTTTCATTTCTCTCATCATTACTTCCTTACATTTACCTATTTATATATTGGGGTATATTTAAAAAAAATTATATTTGCTACATATTAATTACTTTTAACTAGTTTTAAATATTTTCTTAAACCATACAATTTAATTAAAAGGATCTTGTAATAAGAGACGGAGGGAGTACATTCATATAAAAAATTTCTCCATATCCTATAAATAAAACTAGAGGTGTGATTAATGTTCTCAAATTAAAGAAAAAAATGTTCCTCAACTAAAAAGTATGACTACAGTACTAATCAATTTGGGCAAATTAAAATAGTTAAATAAATTAATTACTCATAAGAAATATAATATAATTTCTCTAAAATATACATACATAACATTTTGTTATATATCAGTGTATAGATTTGATAAATTAATTTAGAAATAATAAATATAATAAAAAATGAACAGAAATCTCATATTCATAACTAAATCGTGTCTCTTAATTAGCTTAAAAAAAAAAGCTAATATACTAGAGATGGGAGGGAGCATGTATTTATGATTTTTGGGAGTAGCAGCTTAAGCCATAAATATTATAAATTATAAGAGGTTTATGGAAAAAAAATACTATTTCTAGTTCTTAATATATAAGATTTTATTTGATTTTTATTTTGATCTTAATTATAAGACCCTAATACACTTTGTCTCTCATATTTATACATTCTTTTACAAGAAGTCCCTTTAATAATGATAGTTCTAGTCAATAAACTTGATTAGTAAAGATATTTTGAGAAAAAAATACCTATTTATTATAAATAAATAATTTATTTTATTTTTTTAATCTTCTTGAATTAATCAATTAGGAGGTAGTATAATGATTTTAACATAGAGATATTTTGGAGTTCAAAGTCAAACTGCATAGGGACTATATAGTTGACTGATTTCAGATTGGTCACAGGTACGTTCTGGGATCACATTTATTTGCCATGCATTGTGATCTGTGAGGTACAGCTATTAGCCGTCACTTGTGAAAGAGTAGTTGGAGGTTGCCTCACAAATAGTATTTTCATTCTTTTATTTTTAAAAAATTTTAAATTTTCCCCTTTTTAAATTCAAATTCCACAAATGAATAATTCATATTGGCAGCCAAATGAGACATGTAAATTTGAAGCTAATCCCCGCGCGATTAATGCGCTGCTCTAGCCAATAACCTATTTACACTAATGGCCCTAATAAGTTTTTTTTCCCTATTTGCACCGGATATTTTTAATATATTTCATATAAAATAATCTTAAATTATATTAACTCTTTTTTAAAATATAATAATTTTTTAATTTTACTCATATTTAATATATATGTATTTTAAACAAACAATGATCTAAATGAACGATACAATAGTACTCCCTCCGTTCCTTATTACAAGAGACAAATAACCAAATTATGTTGATAAAAAAACAGGACAATTAATATGTAAAAAGTATAATATTTTTTCTCATAATGCCCCCATTAATAAGGAGAGAGAATATGAGAGAGAGTAATTAAATTATTAAAAGAAAGAGAAGTGTGAGGGAGAGAGAGTATGAGTTGGAGACAAAATAAATAGGGGTAAAATAGAAAATCAATAATAGAGACAACTTTTAAATGTCTCTTATATATGGAAACATGCCATAAGCATCAAATGTTTCTTATAATAAGAAACAGAGAGAGTATATTTTTTACTAAAAATTTAGTAAGGTAACTTTTAAACACGCCTCATTTCTAAAACGGATATATATATATATATATATATAAATGTTTCTAGAACGTTGTGTTTATAATTTTACTGAATTTTCATATGCATCAATTTTTTCTGTTTGGTGAAAGATATCAACTTCTGCGCAACTACATTTAAAAAACGAGAAATCTATTGGTCAAAAAGGTCAGGAAATCAAATTTTAGACATGCATACAAAATAGTTGACATTTTTTCACCAGCAATGAACATGGTATACTATAATACCACTTATGGATGATACAAGACATTAGTTAGAAAAACAATTATGGTTCAGAATATAAAATGTTATAAGAATAATTAATGTGATTTTTTTATATTGTTGCTCCTATTAAATATGGGAGAAAGAGGAAAGAAAAGGGAGATTATAAAAATGTAACATTAAAGGCAACCTTATCATTTTAAAGGATGAAATAGAAAAAATCTATCATTTTAGGATAAATTTAATGATTAAACTTTTATTTCTTGATATTGAGAAAAATTAACTAACTTATTATATTAAGCTTAAGAGGGATGGAGTACTTCTCACTATAAATATAAGAATTTAATTTGTAGTTCAAATAATATTCCTCCGGTCCTTAATATAAGACCCATTTAACTAATTTGATTAGATTAAGGAAGTTAGATAAGTTAGTTAATTATAAGAAAAGTGACATATTTTTCCCTAAAACACCATAATCATCTTTTTTAATACCCCCTTTTCCTCTTCTACTTTATTATGTTTGAGGGAGTATTCATAGGGGTAATTTAAAAAAAAGTGATAAATATGAGAAATGGATCTTATATTTAGGACCAAAACCAACTCAAGAATTGGGTCCTATATTAAGGACCGGAGGAGTATAATACTACCACCGGTCCTTAATATAAAAGCTTGTTTGATTTTTATTTTATTACTAAATATAAGATCTCAATCTACTTTGTCTCTCATATTTATCAATTTTTTTCAAGATAATCATTGTAATAATAGTACTTCTAACCAATATATTTGATTAGTAAGTATATTTTAGGCAAGACAGTAATTATTTATTACAAATAATTAAATTAACTAATTTTTTTAATTTACTCAAATTAGTGAATTAGCTGTTATATTTAAAACTGAAAATAATATTTAATTTGGGTCTAATACCAATATTTTTCGTTTATAATTATTATTTCCTATGAATTCCATTTAACACGACTTTAGTGCCCATAATAAAGGCGGTTAAATTGAAGTAGTCTAAATTAAGGTACCAAAGGCTGTATCCTCTAAACCCAAGCAGATGGCAGTTCAACATCCAGAGTGGTTTAACTATAATTAAACCAAAATCAACTTAATCATGATTGAAATGACAGAAAAGAATATTGCTATTGTTTTTAATTTTAGAAAATGTCATTTCAGTATTTAAGAAAGAGTGAAAAAATGTCGGCACATTTTTAATGAGGATTTGAACCTTAATTTATAAGAGAGTAATCATAAGTCAGAAGGCATTTTTCAGGGTCGTTGAAGTAGTTTCAGTGAGATGATGCAACTCCACGGCACCACACTAGGACCTCACAACCGTCTGGTTCATAGCCGGTGCCCTGAATCGAATATAATAATCTCCTCCCCATTTAATGTCGCCTTCCAATCTCCAACTTGCAGCCCATCATTCTTGACTTTCATCACACCATCATCAAATCACATCCTCCTTTTTATCATCCCGTGTTTATGTTAATTTCTTTAACATGTTCGCAACCTATGGCGTCATTATGAAATATATATAGAAGTATAAAGATAAAAATATCCTTCACCGAAAAAAGGGCCTCGTTCCTTTGGCTCTTCCCTTTCTTCATCTATATTTATAATACAGTCAATATAACCAGATAGATAAATAAAAGATTTGCAAAATATATACATGCTTCAACTTCACGAGAATGATGAACGCAATGCAAATTTGAACCCTAAATCTATATTTTATCAGCGTTACTGGTGTGAATGGAGATTCTGACCAATTCCTTAACCAAGACGAAGGCAAGAGACTGAAATCAAACGCCATAATTAACTGGTTTGGTTTGATTCTCGCAGAGCAAACGTAAACATGAATCTGGTGTTATGAATCTCTCCTTAAAAAAAAAAAATTATGTTGAGGAAGGGTATTATAAAGTCTTGAGTTCTCCAATTCCGATAACTGGATTTTAATTTAGGGTGCAGTTCCCCCCAAGAATTTGCACTCATTATAATGGTACTTTCTTTGAAAGCCGCCCAACCATATAAGAATACAATGGAGGGTTCCAACTCAATGGGGGTTTCTTGGTAGGATGTTGAGTGAAGTGCCGAGTGAAGTGTTATTATAGTGTAAACTCGTTAGGACATTGGTTCTGATCAAAAGGATTCTTTTCTAGGAGTTTGAGTAAAAAGTTGAGTGAAATACTGTATGTAGAGCCAAGGAGACATCCGCGCTCTCTAGTTTCAACTGCAGTGGCTCTTCCTGAACATTATTCTAACTCCAGTTATTAGCTTTTGGAGCATTGAGACTCAAAAACTTATCACAATTTAACCATGTGGGTCCTTAATATGTATAATTGGTGCATATATCATATACGAATTAAATACTCCAATTTTAGGAAGATGTGTTTGTGTTTTTGTTTTGTTTCTTCTGTTACTAGCACTTTGGTGGTATTTAACTAAGTTTTAATTCATTTTTATTCTTACGCGTTTAAATATAAAAGGCTAGATGCTTTTTTTGTTTTTTGGTTTAAAAAAAGGGTCGAAACTTAAGGGACTGATTTAAACAAGTTAAAATTTGATGACTGGGTCGTATTTCTCTTATAATTTCAGTTAGTTAATGATATTTCTCCAGCATTAGTACAAAAATAAATAAAATGAAAAAAGTAAAAACTAAAAGAATAAGATAGGAAAAATTTAGAAAATATTTTTAACCTTTAATTGCAATTAATTATATAAGGTTGATGTAGTGTGTAAGGTTAGGTCAGTTAATGAAACATATTGATATTAAAAATATTTGAGTTGTAATCAAGCAGGATCAGTTTTATCCGGCCAAAAAAAAAGTAGGATCAATTTTTATTTATGTTACGTCTCAGTGAACTTATCATAATCTTCGTAACGTGCAACTTCAGTTAACAGAATAATTACTTTGATGAGAAAAATATTTAGGAACTAAAATAAAATTAAATAATTACTTTTGAAGAATCAAATAAAGCAAAATCTAATTGTAAATGAATTTTAATTTCATTTTTATATTATAATAAAAATAAAGAAAAAAATAAATTAGGACTTAGGAGTGGCCCGTTCTCAAATGTTTCACCATATTTAAAGCCTTTTTAAAAGCTATATCATCTCATTTTATTTATTTTAAAAAAGTTAGCCCAAAGCTGGGAGCATTAAATTAGAGTTATAGACTTAATATAGGGACCAATAGTAGTTTAGAGAAAATTTAAAGAGAAAAAGAGAACAATTAAAAAGAAAGCTATGTGTGTGAGAAAGAGATTGACACACATAAAATGAAAATTAGTAGTGGAAGTAGGTAACTTGGATTAATTTTATCTTTTTTTTTTAAAACACCTTATATATAAAACGGGGTATTATTAATATAAGAAAATTTACAAACTTTAAAGAGAAATTAAATTTTTTTTTGAACATTCCTAATCAACGAATAAAAATATATTAATACCTAATTTAATGATGACTTAATAAACTAGCACAGAAATATATGCCATCCGTTCCAATGTTTCAGGTCACTGCACTATATATATACTATTTTGGTTTTATTTATAAATGACTTCTAATATGCATGTTTTTACTTTTAACCCAATAAAAGAATTTAAGTGTTATTAACTTTGTCTTAAAATATAATTTTTTTAAATTTTATTTTTATGTAATAGATACTATATTTCATGAGAGTGCAAAGTTCATGCAATATTAAATAAAAGAAAAAATTATATATTCATATGAAAATTTTGATAAGGTGACTTGGGGGAAAAAATCTTCTCTTCCTATAGAACCAAGAAGAGTGAATATAGTACATAGATATATTAATGGATTATGGTGGGCGTGTAATAACTGCATAAGACTGGTTTAGCTGCGATGCTATGATCAGCAAGGCGCAGAAGACGACCATTCCAGCGGTGCCAAGTGACTGCACTGAACAACGCGTCGGAGGCTGCCTATCGTATCCTGTTTTCTGTCTTCCTCTTTATGGCCAACCGTCCTTTCCATCCGACCCACCCATATCCACTGAACTACGTACGCGTTTAATATAAGTGCACATATTAAAATAATTGTATAGTAATTATTACACAATAATAAATATCAGTGAGAAACTAATAATGGTGACTGATAGGCAGCCCTAGCTAACTGTATCGGAATTGGATTTCAACTCTTCAATCCTCTTCCCCACACGCCTATAAATAAAATCCTTACTTCAGCAAAGTATGGCAAAAAGTTCCGCCACCCAACCACTTCTTGTTCTGGAATTTATTCTCCTGCTTTGAACTCTCTTCCCCTTCCTATTATATATCGGCTTTCTAGAGGTTTTCATAGTGAAGGTTGCACCGGCTTATATTGAACACACACACACACACACACATATATAGAGTTGAATTCGATTGCTTTGCCTGACAAAGTTAGAAGGATACATATATTGAAGATTTCTCTGTAAAATGAGTGCTCCTTTAGCAGCTTGGCCATGGGAGAACCTTGGCGTATTCAAGGTATATATATGTTATTGCTTTCTTTGTGTAATTTCTTTATCTTCTTATTGTGCTTCCTTTTTCTCTGTTATAATTTTTTGGTGGTATTAACTTGGGTTTCCGTGATATCAAACTACGTTTCTGGGTAGTATCTGTTGTATGGGCCACTTGTCGCAAAAGTTCTGCATCAAAGGTTTCACGATGAACACATCAACTCTAGCTGGTGCCTTCATTTACTCATCCTGTGTGCTCTTCGAGGTTGGCTGCATGTTTGGTGGGGCTCTTACGGCAATATGCATTTTTTGACCCGAAATCGACGAATCATCCAACGTGGGGTTGATTTCAAGCAAGTTGACAAAGAGTGGGACTGGTAAAGAATATAAGAAATTATAATGAACTGAGAATATCGTCTAAATTGGGTTTCGTAAACACAGATCAGTTTGGAGTTAAGTGTTTTTCGTTTTCTCTTTCTGCAGGGATAATTTCTTAATCCTTCAAGCATTAATTGCTTCCATGATCTTCTATGTGTTTCCGTTTCTTCAAAACCTTCCTGTTTGGAACATGAAAGGTTTAATTGTTCTTCTGGCTCTCCATGTGGGGATCTCAGAGCCCCTCTACTATTTGGTTCATAGAAAGTTTCACAGCGACTATCTTTACAACCATTATCATTCATTTCATCATTCATCCCCAGTACCTCAGTCATTTACAGGTGAGATGCTTCTGATTTATGATGTTACTTAATTATCTTCCTAATTTCTTCAGAAATTTAATCAAGTCCTACTCCTCTTGTTCCTCAATCTCAATCTTGTTCAACTTGTTTTGCTTCTTCAGCTGGAAATGCAACGCCTTTGGAGCATCTTGTTTTGGCATCAATCATCGCAATTCCAATCCTTGGGACTTCGCTTTTTGGATATGGATCGGTAGGGTTGATATATGGGTACTTGTTGATGTTTGATTTTCTGAGGTGCTTGGGCCACTCCAATGTTGAAATCGTTCCGCATGAACTATTTGACAAATTTCCCTTTCTGCGATACATGCTTTATACACCAACGTGAGTTTCCGTTTCTCCTATATACATCTAAAAAAATCTTTTAACTTTACATCCATATGTTTTGTAGATATGGATATATTTACTTGTTCTTTTGTTTTATACAGATATCACAGTCTACACCACACTGATAAGGGCACTAATTTCTGCCTCTTCATGCCTCTTTTTGACGTACTAGGCAACACGCTTAACGAAAAATCATGGAAGATGCACAAGGAATTAAGTTCAGGTTGGTATAATCGGTTTCATATTAATACTAATTATTTCATCTTAATTCCATTCATACTTATGTGAAATTTGTATGTTACATTAACAGGTGAAAATGGGAAGGTACCAGATTTTGTTTTCCTGGCTCACGGAGTGGATGTGGCATCCTCTTTGCATTCTGCCTTTGTGTTTCGATCATTTGCTTCTTTGCCGTACACAATGAGGATCTTCTTACTTCCGCAATGGCCAATTGCTCTTATGGTTATACTTGTCATGTGGGCTTTCTCCAAAACCTATTTACATAGTTTCTACCACCTTAGAGGTCGATTGCATCAAACATGGGCTGTCCCTAGGATTGGTTTCCAGGTAGACCTGAGGAATTTGTCTTTAATTTTCTTTATTTACTATGAATGATGCAAGAGGGAAAAAAGAAATTGACGATTTCACGTTTCTTATTATTTGTGTTGTGTTGCTTTTACAGTATTTCTTACCGTTTGCTGCCAAGGGCATCAATCACCACATTGAGGAAGCAATCCTCAGGGCTGACAGAATTGGGGTTAAAGTCATCAGCCTCGCTGCCTTGAACAAGGTTTTCATTTTGAAACTTGCATTTATGTCTTGTGCTTATGTAGTTGAAAATAAGGCATACACACACATACACACACAAATACATATACAGATAGATTAATTCATGCACACACATATTAGACCTAAGTGAACTTGGTTCTGGTGTTCTGTGGGCAAGTTTGTTGAGGGTTTTAATGCACTTTTAAGTTAGATCTGAATACCTGGCAAGATCAGGACGTGTGCTTTAAAATTCAATAAAGGAACATGGATCTGTCAATTTTGGAGTCAAATCCAAACTGTTCTGAGAGACAAATCCTTCTGAAAATGATATGGAAAACCAAGTACACCGGCATTGCACAACAGTTCAAAATAACGATAAAATCGTTTAAAGAGATATTTGGTTCTTTCAGCTCAAAAATATGTGTAAGAATCTATTAGAAATTTTTACTGACCCGTTTGTCAACTTTAAAGAGAAAAATATGTGCATAAAATTTCCCCCTTTTCATTCACTATTTTCTTCTTTCTTCAAAAATATGCTAACAAAAAAACAAAAAAAGATGATTCCAAAATCTTGAAGTAACATGATGGGTGAGAAATATGCAGTTAGCAGGAGTTTTAAATGAAATAATAAGAAGCCACTTTCATTTAATGAAAAAAAAAAATTATCTAGGGGCCAAGAGGACATCTACATTTAAGTGGTTCTAACTGCACACAGGAGCATTATTTAATGAAGCACCCTCTATAGAGCCAGCATTCAATTCATTTCGTACGAGTATAGAGTAACAGTAGCTGATATTTCAAGCTCAAGACCATTTGGGATCTTTGCTTTTAAATGGAGGAAATTCTAACCACTGACTTTTGTTTGTACAGAACGAATCTCTGAACGGAGGTGGGAAGCTGTTTGTGGACAAACACCCAAACCTTAAGGTTAGAGTTGTTCATGGAAACACCCTTACTGCTGCTGTCATCCTCAATGAAATCCCTCAACATGTCAATGAGGTCTTCTTAACTGGTGCTACTTCTAAGCTTGGGAGAGCAATCGCCCTCTACCTTTGCCGAAGGAAAGTCAGAGTTTTGGTAAGTACCATCGTATACTCTTTTTCATAACTCACTAACCAGTGCTGGATTTCAAAACTCATTAACTCTATATGAAAGTTAACAAAATCCCTAACTTTCCCTAAATTAAGTTTGGAAAACATAAAGCAGCCTTGAATAAGCAGGAGAATATGGTAGTATCTTGTAAAAATGACAAGAAATCTTCCTTCCAAGTATCTTATAAGAAGGACTGGTGGGAGCATGATATCACATTATTATATTATATACTGTTGTTAGGCGTGTTAAATATGGTGAACGATTTATATGCTGATATCTGACATTGAATTAATTTCTTGACCTACTCAAAGTGGTTAGAGAGTAGCAATAATAATAGATGTGAGATATAATGTGATAAGATCGCCAACCCCACGACATGAGGTCCATACGGGTGGCCCATGTTTCTGTGTGTAGCAAACACCAGTTCATATTTCAGGCATACATGAGCTCATTCATAATAATAAGTATTTTTGTCTTGAAGCCATTCATGTGCACTTTTTTTTAATATAGAATATGTGCATAGCCATAAGTTGAATTGAAATCAAATTTTCAGAGGTTAGTGATCCAATTAATATCAATACTAAGTGGGATAGCTACAATCATTGTTGCAGATGTTGACTTTTTCAACTGATCGTTTTAAGAGCATTCAAAGGGAAGCCTCTCCAGAACACCAAAACTATCTTGTTCAGGTCACAAAATACCAAGCAGCGCAACACTGCAAGGTATATTATACAGTTGGTTGAAGTGATCGAACTTTACATTAGTTTAACATTCTCAGAATTAGTATAACGATCAAAACACGGCAAGGTTGCTTGATTCCTTACAAGCTTTTGAACATTGTATATACATGGAGATCGGAGAAAACCATTTGATTTGCGTGCCTTTCGTGACAAATTTATTTGCTCTTTGCAGACATGGATTGTTGGAAAGTGGATCACTCCCAGAGAGCAAAGCTGGGCACCAAGTGGAACACATTTTCATCAATTTGTTGTTCCTCCTATATTACACTTCAGAAGAGACTGCACTTACGGCGATCTAGCCGCCATGAGAGTGCCTGATGATGTGGAAGGTCTTGGCTACTGTGAGGTAAGCAATAAGCCCTACCTGTCAATTAATTAACTCTTACATAAACTTGGTCCACAAAAGACGACTTACCATATGTCAAACCCTCTATATATAACTTCAAAAAAAAAAAAAAAAAACAGAGAGACACGAGTGATCTACTTACTGGTGTTAGTATATCTGATATATGTTTTACATGGGTTTTATGCAGTACACGTTGGAGAGAGGAATAGTGCATGCGTGCCATGCTGGAGGTATGGTTCACAGTCTTGAAGGTTGGACTCATCATGAAGTTGGAGCCATAGACGTTGAGAGGATTGATGTTGTGTGGAATGCAGCACTCAAACACGGTCTAAGACCTGTCTCAGCAAAGCCAGCTCTGAAAAATTGATCTCTCTCTCTCTCTCACAATCATAAGATGATGGAGAAATTACTTAACTTCGAAGGAACATTTTAATTAATGTGCATGGCTCTCTTTTCTGTTTTGTAGGGCCACAATTAATTAGGGGGAGTTCAATTCTATAATGTCTTGTTTTTATACTGTCATCCATGTTGTGACATTATAAATGTTTATATATATATCCAGGCTACTTAATGAAATGAAAGTTCTCTTAGTTCTGTCGCTTGTACTTTCTATCGAGCTTGGTACTTATTAAAATAATCAACACTACTTACGCTACTTCCTCTGGTTATGAATATCCTATAAAGAAATAGGCAGCAATTAACTTAAGAATCTTAAATGGCAAAGGGAAAATCAAAGGAAAGGTACTGTTCTTAGCATGAGAGATGCAAAATCAAAAGTTGAAGGTACTTTCTGCTCAAGCTATAGATAATCAAGAAGAAGCCAGATCAACAGTTATTAGAGTACAGTGTAAACATGTTGCAATTCTCTCTACGTGCAACGAAAATAAAGTTGTCATTCGAATTTAATCAAACTTGTTATTGTCTTGGCATATATAGGAATAAAATTTAGCAAATGATAGGCTGTATGACAACTTATGTGAGTAGTTGAAATCTTAAAATAATGTTGATCAGAGAGTATTCGTCAATTTATTTGTTGTGTACTGAGAAATTTTTCTAAATTTCAAGCAAGATTACAAGTGCTATCTTCTTTTTCTTGCTTATCTTGGTCTTGGTTCTAGTTCTTTTTCAACTAGATTTTCAATAAACTAATTCTGATTGAATGGAATTTATTTCAATAGTTTATGTTTGAATGTGTGTGTTTTTCAATTATCCAGGCATTTAGATAAATTATTTATTCATTTTTTTAACAAATATTTAGCCTTCCAATATCTTCCAATATTTGATATTTCACTTGCACATTGATTCAATCCCGCTATGTATATGCTAATATATTCCCCACTTAATTTCATTTGAAGTAAACATTGGGAAAATGACACTTAAAGATCTCAGAGAAGACAAATAATGACCTCTAAAAACCTTATTCTAAAAACTAATGACATTGAAGAGCTTAGGTTCTTTGCTGGTAGAGCCGGTAATATGGGTTGGACCCGCGGGTCGAACCCGCCAACCCGCCAAAAGAGGCGGGTTAGGGTTGGCCTTTGGCCAACCCGCCACCACCTGAAAAATATGAGCCCGCATCGCTATAACCCTAACCCGCGGCGGGTTGGCCCGCCAACCCGCGGGCCAACCCGCGGGTTAACCCAATTTTTTTTTTTTAAAAAAATAGATAACAAAGACAAAAGTAAAGCAAATTTTTACTTCAAACTTTATTGTCATTAGAAATAATTAGATAAATAAGGTTATTCAATATTGCTCATTGGTTTCATTGAAAAAAAAAATGTGTGAACTTGTGTATTATCATGTTGGAAAATTGGACAATCATATACTATTTGTATTTTATTGTGTTGTAATTTTTATTTGGATGTTTCTAATATTTTATATCATTTTTAGTATTTTTATTTTGTATTATATATAATTGCTAACATTTTTTTTTAAAAAAAACAAAAAAAAAAAATAAAAATTTGGCGGGTTGGTGGGTTGGCCCGCCAACCCACCTTGGCGGGTTAGGGTTGGCAAAATGCCAACCCGCCAGAAAACGGGCCTTTTGAGCCCGCACCGGACAACCCACAACCCGTCACGGGCCAACCCGCAACCCGCGGGTTGGCCCGTTTTACTAGCTCTATTTGTTGGTATTAACAGAAGTTTATTTACAAGCAAAAACACAGACTCCTGACAGCTAAAAACCGATAAGAATCAAATTAAAAGTTTAACTATAAGTAATCGAGCTTCTATGATTTTTTTGTTCATGATCACTAATTAAGCTTTTGGGTTTCATAACTCAAATAACACACAAATTTAAAAATGAAGTTTTACATAACTTACAATTAAGCTTCCAGTTTCTTTAAAAATCACTATGTTTCTAGGTAGGGCCGTTTTGGTCTGCCCCTCTTTTAATAAGCATCATCCCTTCAGCGTCATTTTCAGAATTTAAGATCGCACTCTCTCTCTCTCTCTCTCTCTCTCTCTATATATATATATATATATATCTTTTCTCATGTCATTTTTTTTTTGAATGGTAACTGAATACTACTAAAACATCAAAAGAAAGAGTAGAAGTAAAAAGAAACTACGACCCTTCATCAGCATCCACCTTCCACTGATGGTGTGAGACATGTCTTATCATATCTTCTTTTTTTTTTGTTGGTACATTCTTCTCATATCTTCCTGAATAAATTAAATGTGGATGGTGCTGTGAAATTGAACTCCTCTAAAGCTGGCTGTCGAGGTTTACTTAGTGCCTGTAAGGTTCCGTTTGATACGAAGCATTGAAAATAAGGGATTAGGATTAGGATTATAATTAAAAAAAAATCATTAAAATAGTATTTAACATGAGTAATTACTTATTATATGGGATTAGGCAAATCCATAGAGGTGAGATGGGAGAATGCCACTTGGCATTCTCCAATCCCATCTTCTGACCTTTTTTAATCTCACATTTATGGGTTTGTTTAATCCCATATAACAAGCAATCTGCACTCTTTTAATAGATTTTCTTAATTACAATTTCAATCTCAATCTCTTATTTTTAATGCTTTCTACCAAACGTAACATAAGAGTCATTGGATTGTTGGATTTACCCATGAATTGGGAATCTGCAGCTCACAAGAGGCGAAAGAATGGGGCATGTATAGGGGATTAAAGCTCACATGGGATTTTGGATTCAGAAACATCATCCTTGAATCAGACGCCAAAATCCTGATAGAACAGCTCTCTACTCACCAGTCAAATACCAACGCCAGTCTGCTTTTTATTCAGATTCAGGAAATGTTGCAGTTCGATTGGAATGTCCAGGTGAACTATATATCGAGGAGAAGCAACAAGGTTGCTGATAGCTTGGCTAAAATGGGGATCTCAAAATCTCGTTTTTTTTATTGTTGCCCGACTAGTTTAAGGGACCTTGTGCAGGAAGATTGTATGGGATATGATCCCACTTGCTTTTAGCCTCTCTTGTAGCAAAAAAAAAAAAAAAGCGCTTCATCTCTGTTTTATTTATTTATTTAATGGAGAAGCGTTTCGGGGTGAAGTTTTCGTGGGCTGACGGCGCCGAAGCATGCGGCTCAGGAACTCAACGTAATATTGGGCCAAACACTGGGAATATATGGGCTACTTTTTGGGCCAACAATATTCTGGGCTTTTAATCGGGCCTCTTGTACGAGCTCGAAAGAGTTCGGGCCGCAAAGCAAAATGACACGTGACACTGGCCAATTCTGAAGGCGACACGTGTTTCCTTCGGGAATCTCCCTGTAACCGCCACAGCGGGGGAACTCTCGTTCCCTCCTGAACAAGTCATCTTCGCATTTTGGGTTTCACAGCGCGGGAAGGTGAGAAATGGAGAACAGAGCACGTCTCCGAGTTCAGAAGACAAAAGGTTTCAAGGGTAGAAAGAAGCATTTGGTGAGAAGGGTCGTTGATTATGTCAAATCCGATACTTTCTTGTATGCTCCCTTGCTCTCTACGGTGCCCACTGATTTTCGCTCACCTTATTCTCTCGCTTCTTCAACTAGAGGTCAGTCTATTCCATAGAATTTGTCTTTTACAGTTTTTTTGTTGGGTTTAGGATGAATACAACGTTTTCTTTTTTAAAATGAGACAGTGGTCGAATTTAAAAAACCCATTATAGAAAACAAGCCGTTTCTAGAGCAGCTCGGGGAGTATATGAAATCTGACGACTATATGTATGCTCCTGTTGCTGGTCCTCCTCATTCGCTTCAAGGTATGCTTCTTTGTTCCTATTTATATATACATTTGCAGAACATCTTGGTTGGCTAAAGCTGGTGACCCATTTTCTACTTCTCTGAAGTTATATAGCTATTACCTTTATTTTAACTACGTGTAACACGACCTCTTAGTTCTTAGTTTGCTTATTACTGAAGCTTTTCTTGTTAATTGCTTATTGAATTATTTATCTGAATAGCGCTTGGGCTGGTTGGTTCCGCTCAGTCTCTTCTTCGGTTCTTTCAATTATTGCACTGGCACTATTTTATAGCTACCATATATATTTTAGTGTTCTCTCTGTTTTATACTTAAAGTCGAAGTTCACTGCAATGATGGATAAATAGCCTTTTGAATCCTCAGAAAATTGTAAGCCATCGTATTCTCTCTGACAATTCTCCTACCGGGGCCGGGGAGTATTTGAAATGTAATAAAATCGAGAAAGATCGGAAATTCAGAAGAACTGATTTGAAGTTGCAACTGTTGGTAGAAAACAATTAAGGTTTGTCTGTCGGAGTGTGGAAAAATCTCCAAAAGACGGTTTTCACTTTTCAGGCCTCGGTAATAGATGCCCTGCAACTTGCTTCTTGCCTATAATAACCCTTCCCTTCCTTTTTATACATACTGTCCTCATAAGGATTAAATGGACCTCAAAATCCAAATTTTCCTGCAGATAAATATGAAATAGGATTGAATATCTATTAGATATATATATTGTCATAACTACATCAAAATCATTTCTTTGCAAGAGGATAAAATATGCTTGTCACAGCTCTGTGAAGATCTTTAGCATCTTGGTGAACAGAATAAGCCATTATGCCTTATGATGGTCCAATAATGCTTGCATTTACAGTTGTCTCTTGTAGTTGTAGATCTCAGTTAAAGTTAAAAAGAAAGTGCACCGAGTATGCCTTTATTCTCCCAATCAGTTCGGTCATCTGGCAGAATTCTTTTACCATCATTTTTATAATTAATGTGAAATGGAGAAAAACAACCTACAATTGCATTTTCCCAGCATCCAGAATTATTTTTTAGTCTCCCCCCCCCCCCCCAACTTATCCATTGAAAGGTCCCTGTGCAACGGGGATAGATATCTGGCTGCTCGGTGGCAAGATGCTAAAGTTATTTGGGAAATCCTTCTATGTTCATTTGCTCTGCTCATTTTGTCCCTTGAGTGGAATGGGCAGTAGTCTTCACATTCATTTTGAAATATTTTGTTTCTTTCTTTCTTTCGTTTTTTTTTAAATGGGCACTATGACATGTCAATGAAGGTCCATCCCATTAATGATTTAACCAGAGAACAAATAACAAAGAAGGGATCATAATTGGAGGAGGCAGACAGGTCTATTGCCTTTGGGTGACATTCCTCATGCATCTCCATCCATTTACTTCAAAATTGAATATATGTGGAAATTTCTTGCCCTCTAATTCTTTTGTTAAGGA